AGTGGTATATATACTCTACATCTGGCCTCTTTAATCAAGTATAAAGTGATTTGGTTAGTTAAGGTCATATACCAACTTCGATGCATGTGTGTGTGTCTGTCTCTGTATTTGTAAGTGCCTGTTTGTGTTCGCTTATGCACGAAACCCGCAGTGATGGCTCAGAGTAATTAGACAGCAAAAAGGAACGTATATTTTTGGTCTTCTGGTGGAACCAACCTTCGAATCTCTTCACCCAACACTTTAATTCGAAATGGAAGTAAGCTCAACAATTATGAAACAAGAGATTACCCGAAACCCAACTTTTCTTCACTAATCTAAGTTTGGCTTTAAGGCTAAGCCAACCAGATCATGGGATGTATCATTAAGATCATAAAATAAGGTTAAAAAAGTAACTAGATTTTCAGCAAGCCACCTTTTCTCATGGCCTATAAATTTGAGGAATTTTTCATAAATGATTGTTTCCAGCTGTTATGATAATTGTGATATGAAAGAAGAAATCTCAGCACGGATTCATTTTTTTCGCTGGATTGTGATCCGAAAACTTCATTACACAGTCATTCTGTTTCTGGCAAGACTTATTAACGAAACTTTTTCACCCGCTTTATCGAACTTAATAAAAGTTCTATTAAGGGAGTCCTATAAATGCAGCTTCTTAGCATATATAAAGGGATTTTTCCTCATGTTTCGGTGCTATCGACAACTAGTCCATTTCGTATGAAACCAATGATGTGGAAGTACCACTGGGCTCCAAAGATTGGACCAAAATGAGGTATTGTGTCGTTTAAGAAGAAAAGACAGACAAAAATGCTTACACTGTTTTGAATTATTCACGACAGCAGCTTTTATTCATATCCACAACAACACTGATCAATTAATAACGATGAATATAAGCTTATTTGTCTACACTTGTGACCTCTAGCGATCATGACTTGTATAACCGAGAGGAATAGGGGGGTACGAACATAGACCTTTTAGAGGTTCTTGAATTTTCTTGCTTCATGTAGGGGTTTCATTACATACCTAGCCTCGATAATATTCACAGTAAATAGGCATAAAGACTTTCGCCAGGTCTTGAATAGAAGTTTTATTTATCTTAGCCCCCATACGGTGATGAAAGATGGATATTTGACTTTTCCTAAAATGAGGCCTACTCATATTATTGTGGGAAAATTCACCATTAGCGATATAGGGTGTGGATAACCCCCCTTCATAGCCTAATTTATTCAGGTAGAGGTCAGGGGTATTTTGTTGTGTTATCAAGGCACTGATAGCACTCTGATCATGATGCTTTGGAGAGAGGAGACAGATTGTAGGGTCTTTCCTTTCACCAGTTAATTGTCCTCTTCCGAAAATGAGTACCAAAGCCTGTGGTTTTTGCCCTACTTGACTGCTACCAATCAGGGCTTGGCTCAAACGAACATGTTGCTACTCCTCGATTTTGCACTTGCCTCACAGGCTCCTTGGTTCATGGGTCGTCTTGATGGCACTGCCGGCCCCCGACAGGTCGTGGATCCGGTCCCTGACTGGGTCTGTTTGTTGCCCTGTTGTAAGTCGCCTCCTTTCCCGGCGGCCTGAGACCATGTCAGCTTACCCTCCACGGGCCTGGCATACAGAGATCCAGCAGGCGTTGATGGTGTCGCCGTAGGGGTCATTTTATGCATCGTCGCATCTGCCTTGACCAGAGTTGTGGTACAAAGGCCTGGGTTACTGTCACCCACAACGAGGCAGTTGGTCGGTTTTCGCTCTTTCGTCTGCCTACCAAATGACTGGCTTGATCTTCGTTCTCCCGTTTGGAAAAGAACAGCCGAACTCAACTGGGCCGGCGTTGTCGGCCGACCAGGACTCGAGCCCTGCTCCAGATCGTCGTCGTATTCATCATTCCGACGGGCATCAACAGTCTCCGTCTCGTCGTCTCCGCTGCCAGTCGGACCGTCGAGAAAGGCCGTCGGCGCTAGGGACAACCGCTTCTGATGGCTGATCATGTCGCGACTGGAGCTGCTTTTATGTCGTCGTTGCTTTCGATGCATCTTCGTCGTGCTGGCAGGCCGCCGGCACCAGCAGAGGCAGGCAAACAGATTGAATAGACGCAAGGAAACTCGAAATATGGACTTTGGACTGACGATGGTGTTGAATGGGGGCGGCAGCGTCGAGCCCTCGTCAAAGTAGCCAACCCAAAGCTTACTGCGTGCAAACTTCCATTCTGTATCAGCTTGGTTCTATTTTGGGTGAGTGGATGAAGGATATAAAGCAAAAAGCGTCTTAGATATAAGTAGGTTTTAAGACTATCAGTTATTAATGAATTAGATATGATAATAAAAATTGGTTTTGGGGAATATCTTGTTTCATAATTGCTAAGCTTACTTCTCTTTCGAGTCAAAGTATATCTATCATGAATATATTCGAAGGCCGATCCCACCAGAAGATGATGGTGAATTTCGCTTGACCAGTTGTCGATTTGCTTTACTGGAACATTCTTGTTGACTCTGTTTCTGAGGCAATCTCCTTCGATTCCAGGGAAAACGGGCTGCGCATTCATTTGTCATAGGACTAAAATCGTCAGAACGGGGACTCATTCCTGCAAAAGCCTCAAGTTTACATTCAGTCAAGAGGACCGACCTAATTTACAGTTATATTCATACTAACGAGTAAAAACTCTCACCGGCTCATCCCTAAATGCTGTATATATACTCTGGTGTGATCGACCAAGCACTTTTACTCGAAATAGAAATAAGCTCAACAATCTTGAACAAGGGCCTAGTCACTCTAGATTCCATAAGATGAAGTAAGGACTGATAATGAGTTTTCCCACAATCAAATGGATAGGCCTCACGGTGCCACTACTTAATCAGCAATCCCACTATTAATATTAGTTGGAAGAGGCCTGGCCTGACCTGAATGCAGCATTTATCACCTGAGATGTTAACCCATTTGGTCATTGAATGTAGTGACATAGTTCCCTCGACTCGGTACCGAATCCCACTAGGGATGCTGATAAGACCTGAATGAGGTCAAAACTGAAGTCCATCCGGAATGGAATGGCTTTTTTTTGAAGTCAAAGTCAAGTTAAATTAAATAGCATAGTAGGGCTTACACATTTCATTGTGGAAAACTCAACTGTCATTTCTTAAGCCACCTTATAAGATCTAGGACGATTAAAGTCTTATTCAAATAAAAAGTAGACAATTTTAATAAGAATGACCTGAAACCTTATAACTAGCAGATGTGTACATCTGATGGAAAGGATTTAAGATAGCAGGTTATAGCATACATAAAAAATACGTAGTTTTAAAGAGCTCTTTTGATCTGGTTGTATTGAGGCAACCCCCTTTTTGTGTAAAGGTATGTGATGAATGATTGTTGTGCTTACTTACATTTTGAATGAAAGAGCTTGGTGAAGAGATTCAAAGGTCGGTTTCACTAGAAGACGACGTCAGATTCCTCTTGGCCAGATGTCGATTGGAATTACTGGAAGATTCATGCTGACGCTGTTTCCGAGGTAATCTCCTTAGATTCCGGTGAAAAGATGCTAAGCTTTTGTCCGTCATATGACGACCATCATCAGAGCAAGTTTCAAGAAAACTAGTTTTCTTCACTGGTTAGCTTGAATTTTGTTGTGACGATGTTACCTCGCTTTGATGATGTCCATCATATGACGGACAAAAACTTAGCAC